AGTCCCTACCAGGTATTCAGTTGCTAACTGAAAAGTAAACATATTTACATATTACAGATCATTTTTTCTTCCATTTCTTTTACTGTTGGATATACCACCTCACTATACTATATTCTCTAAAATTTAGAATTGTCCTATTTGTCCACCATAGAAAATAATTCAAAGTTCTTCTGTTATATATAGCTTTATTTTTGCATCTGTAGTCTGCAGATTTTATCTCTGATATTAAAAAAATATTTAAATATCCTTTTCCTCATTCAAGTTAGTAATAATATTCAATAAGTTATATAAAACTTGAGTGTTTTGTTCAAAAGATTACTCTTCAAAAAATAAATACTAATTAAAGACAGCAAATGACAAATTAGTATCAATTGTTAGACACCATTCATATAAGTGATTCTTGTGTCAACTTTTGCATGACTCACTTGGAAGTGTTTTAAGGACTTCACTGTGATAAATTATACTGCATTTTATACTCAGTCCTACCTGAATCTTAGCTCAAACCTTCAGGTCTATTCCACTGACCTAAATAATCCATAAGTTATATTTTTTCATGTTTCTCTTTCCAGACCATCCTAAATTTTGGTTTAGAATGCTGAAATACTTACTTGAGCAGTTCAAAATCTAAAGTCCTGTATTTCCTTGCCTTCAAATTGATAATTGCTAAGTAATTAAGATGTTATTTTTAGGAAAGACATAAAAAGCATAAGATATAAGAAAATGTAGTTATTAACTTTTAAAGTAAACATATGCTCAATTTTTTTAAACATCTATTCAAAGAACAATTAAATTTTTAACTTTTAAAATGGCACTGATACACCAAATTAAACTATAACTTTGCCACTTTAAAATAAATAGGTTACTACTAATCTTAAGGAGTTGCAATCAGAACAAATTCTTACAATAAAACCGTTTGCGGGCTTTTATGCAGACCAACTGCCACCCAGGATGACTAAAATAACACAAATTAGATGTAATTGAGTTAAAGGACCACACCAGGTTTGTAATTCAATTTGTCCTATGTGGTTTGGGTTTGGATTTTTACCCCTCCAGCAAACCACGGTTTGAAAATTTCATCAAATGAGAAGTACAAAGAAATAGAAATATATAATGCAAATGTTTAGCGTGAACAATTTACATAAAATCCACTTTAACAGTTTAGACAAAGATTTTTTTTTTCTTTGAATCTGATGGCAGCAAGCATTTCACCTTCTTTTGAGGGTCCTATCCACTGAAACTTCTTGCTAATTTCTCATTCTTTCACAATCTATCCTATTGTTAAGTGGATTTCATTTTATCTAGTTGCCTATCTTGGCACACTATTTATCCAGAAGTACAAAATTAGATTCAAGCCCACATAAGGATTTAGTCCAAAATTATTATTCCAGAGAGTCAAGAAAGGGGCCTGAATTTTTACTACAGGGAACCAACCTTTCAGCAGGCTCAGATGTGACTGATTATACTCTGTTAACAGATATGGCTAATTACTTTGTCATCATTGTGTTAACAACTTGTATTTCTACAGATCTAGCCTATATAGACCTGTCCCTAGAAGAATGTTTATATAAAATATCCTGAAACTAACCATTCCTAAATTGTACTGAGCAGCTCTTAATTTGTGTCGTAACAGTTCTAAACCAAAGAGTCTGATGTATTTAACAGGCTTCATTTCAGAAAATCTTATTTAACACTATCTCTCTGATACAGCTTGATCAGGACATAGCAATAAGACTGTGTATCAATTTTATAACCAAGCAGAAAACAGACTGTCTTTTGGTACTGATTATATATAAAGTATTTGAATTCCTGTATGTATTCAAAAATCATTTTGCCCTGGCAAGATAAAATGTAAACACTTATTACTAAGACAAACTTTTGCTGCCACAATTTTTTACTCTGGCAAACACAGATATGAAAGGCTCATAACCTAATAATTCTTCCTTGCAAAACACTCCAACAAACCATAAAGCCATAATTTCTAAAGTCTAGCTTCTTCCCTGGGTCTTAAAACTCAAAAGCCACATTTAATAAGCTTCTTAAATTTTCCAGATAGTATAGCTGTCAATCATGTCAAATAAAGAGGAAAAATGATTTTTTCAATCATATTTAAATAATACAGGGATCAGGAAGATACTAATACTAGTTTTCTAATTAGGACAACTAGTTATTCAGTCTTTAGTGTGCTAACACCTCCGAGATAAACTATATATCTTCCTGAGAACAAGAACTAACTAGAAAAAATACCACTAGTTAATAATAGGAGTCTCATGAATAAACCAGATGCTCAGTAGAAGATGGTTAGAATTACAACCAACTTGAACATCATTGTTTTTATTCCAGATAGAACACTTAAGAATGCACTATTGTGTCAATGCTATTTTATGTCTTAAATTCATTCACATTGAAAGCCAAAGTTTTGGTTCCAAGGAAGTAAATAAATCTTAGATTCATTTCTCCACTTTATAGGTAGAAAAATTAAAGAAAGGCCGAGTAATGCGATTCATTCAAGATAGTATGTTAAGATTTCATCACAGACAATAGCCAACTCTTTCTACCACGGCAGAATAATCTAAACAGTAATAGAACTTACAATGCTACAAGAACAACAACAAAAAATGGCAGTCTGGAATATATCAGTAACTATGTGATCTTCAAGACTCTGCAAATCCTATCATAGTCTATTCTCCTTTTTCCTAAGTTTCTACAACGTTATTAAACTGTCTTTAATTGCAATTTAATTTTAAGAACAGAGCAGCAAATCAGTTTACATTTGCAGGTAAATGAGAAAACAAAGATGCAAAGCAAGTCAATGTATCTTCTCTAATTGCCCTTCGTGGCTACTTGACTGATTTGATTTCTGAAACTCAAGAGAAATCCAAAGAGTAACCTTGCTTTTCCTAACCTTTACAGCCATGTTCCAAGACCAACTTTACTAAATCTGCAGATAGAAAGAAAGCATATTCTCCTGGCGTAAGAAGTGTAACAAATTTAAACTTGGACTAACCAAACACAAGTCCTCTTTTTAAATTCATATGAAACTGCTGAATAACAAAACAGACCCTTTCCTTACAAAATCAACTGAGAATGCCTTGCCTCCGCTGAGCCTGATCTGCAGCACTCCAGAGTAGTTTAAAGCCCTACTGGGTTGTAAACATGACCGTTTCATTTCAGTACAGGTTATACGTAGAACAAGATGCAAGATGTGTTCATAGATAGTTTGATTTTGAAATCTATACATAACATTTTTAATTTTTAGTACTTTTATATCATAACAGAACTGCCCCAGATGTGGAAAATACACACAAATGCCACTGGACTTTACACAGTCAAATGTTAGTTTTGGTTACCAGCTGCACACCAAACACTAAAAGAATTCTTGTATTACCTACAGCGATATCAGCTTGGAAAGAAGAACGAGAGGAATGAGTTTCTTTAAACAGTCCCTTCAAATAAATGCCTCCTTTTGTCCATACTTACTTTTCCTTTATAGAGAAAGTGTTACTTGTGTCTTGCACAAGAAGTATAATAGGAGTTTTTCAGGAGGCTGAGTCTCTTACATGTTCCTATAACAATAAACAACCATGAAGGTGAAAAGTGAATTTAGAAAGAATCTGACAGCATTACTGCACAGAAAGTGTGAGAATCAAGTAAAGAGGAAATTTTACATGACTTTCTACCCCAAAGTTACCTAAATGACAGAACTCACGGACATAAAGCACAGACATAAAGCACCTAAATATGCCTTTTAAAAATAGGGTAGGGGTCACTAACTCTTGTAAAAGGCAGCAAATGACTCAGAACTCTAGAGTTGGATTAGCTTCTACAATGCCACAATCCTTTACTTTTGTATAAGGTTTCAGCACTGTTCACCTAACATAGAACACTGCTAACTTTCCTGGGCTAAGAAATGAACAAAAACTTTAAGTAACCAGCTCTGGGTATTTTCTTATTCCCAAGAATTATCTTAAATAATAATATAACTACCTCACCACTACCATTCACTTGTACAGAACAATCTTGACTGAGAAGAACAGAATAACTGACAGTGGTTAGCATCATTATTATTTCACAAAACATCCCAGGGTAAGAGTCCGAAATAACTTACTACATATTACCGGTGGGAAATTTTAAGAATGAAGAGTGACCTGCAGTCACCAAGTGAGACTGTGATAGGCTCGACGAATTCCCCAATTCTTGACTCCCAGCCATTTGCTCCTGATACCTGGTGATATCTCCTAGATCTCTGCACACTCAAAATCAGGTAAGTAAAAACATCTTGCAAATTCTTAGTCTTATTCATGTTGACTTGTTCCTATATTTCTTAGCTTTATACGATTTTTTAAAATTTGATAGTAGTGGTCTAATCTAATCAAACCTATAGTTTGGTGGTAATAATAATACTTGACAATTATCAAGTCTTTTGTCAACTTTGCTTTAAACATTAAATGATAAATACAAATATTCTTTAAGGAAGAGTACAAGTAAACAGCACAAGTTTCATCTATTTCAGGATTATGCTATTTATACTCACAATTAACTACAACCAAATCAAGCACAGAAAAGTTTCAGTCCACCGGAACGCAGTCTCTGAAAATAAATTATTTCAATAACTTAATAGAATCCCAAAGCTATTAAAGCCCTAAAAGATTACCCAATCCCCTCATTTTACAGATTTCAAATTTGCTTCTTGACTTAATTTGAGAACTTAAGTGCTATACAGAAGCAATTGAGAAAGGAAGACTCAGGCACATGGAAAAGGGAAAACCAGATGTATACACACCACAAAAAGCCCTGGTTATACTTAATTTCCAGCAATGCCAGTAATTGGGAAAGGGGCTGGGGGGAAAGGAGGGCAGAGAGTGTTAACGCCAGCGATACTCTTTGAACTAGATCCAACAGTGTTTCTATGAGAGTCTAACTTTCAAAGAAAACATTTCACCCCAAGCCAACAATTGCAATTTTTTCATATTTAATTGGTATCAGATATAATACTTGCTTAGTAAAAATTTTTCAGGGTTTTTATTTTCTAATTGTTCACATGATATTACTATGAGAAGAGAAAGGGTTAACTAGCCCTAAAGATGTGTCAGAAGTTGAAAAATATATGATAAATCATGTTTATGTAGTAATAGGAAAAGATCTCTAAGATAAATTGTGAGTCAAAAAAGCAGTTTTGCAAGATGACAAGCAGATTAAGTTTCTGTAAAGACAGCCCACATGCAAAGCAATGCTCCGTGCCTTTCTTAAGCCTGCTTATCTACCTGAACAACTCTAAGGCAGAACGGAAAAAAGACTGGAAAGGCTAGGAACCCAAACCAAGAACAGTCATTCTTTTCTACATTGGTAAGAACGTGATGGAGGGGAGGGACACATCAAAATAGTCTTCACAGATATTCTGATGATTCTGACAATGATATACTTATGTATTATTTATATCATAAAACATTTTTAAGAAACAGGATGAAAAGGACAAAAGCTGAACACAGGTATGCATGGGTTAGGAAAAAGCTTCCCTGGGTGCAAGTATGAGGAAGGCCTTCAGGTGATTTTTTTTCTTATTTTAGGTGGGGATTGAACTCAAGGCACACGTACTACCACTGAGTTATGGCAATCATTCCAAATCCTACTGATTTTTTAATTTTTTATTAGTAAATGCTTGCAGTACATGTTAAAATTCATCTTGGGAAATAGGTACATGCACTTAACAAATCTTGATTTATTTTATTCCCCTACCTTTCTCCTCTTTCCCCACTCCATTTCCAGATCCCCTTCCCATTTCCAAAAGATCTATCTCCCTGTTTCCTATTGTCTTTTTTTTTTTTTTTTTTTTCCTTCTGTCTTTTTGAGATAGGGTCTCACTATGCAGTGAGTGAGCTGGCCTTTGTAGCCCAGACTGGTCTCGAACTCGCAGTGATCCTCCTGCCTCAGCCTCCCAAGTGCTGGGATTACAGGTGTGCACCACCTCACCTAGCTGTCTTTTGTTTTTTAAAAATTATTTCTACTTTAGGTTTTTTCAATATAAAAGAAGTTATGTAATATATAAGCTTGTGTGTCTGTTGATGTTTTAAAGCACGAATGTGAAGGCTTTTATTCCTGTGGGTTTCTACCTATTCTTTACTGTACTGTCAAGCGAGATAAAAGTAGGACGTACAATTAGGGAGACAAAAGTGGCTGAGTTTCTTCTTAATTCTTTACCTTCACGGCCACACCACGAATCTTCTATGGTTCCTCTCACCTCCAGCTATAAAAATAAGATCTAGCTCTTGACTGTTTGCATTAACAGGAAAAAGGTGGCCATTTAATATTGTTACAGATCAGCCTCATCACTGCTGGCTCCAGTAACCTCTGGAATGAAGTCCTTCCTTCTTTTTGCTTAGGAGAAAGTAATCTGCAGCTAATCTGAACTCTGCTCCAACACTGTCCTCGTCACTCGGCTCTAAGGGCCTGGTTTATTTCTTTTGTGTTATGTATCAAGAGTATCCTCTGTAAAATCCTGACTTGTCAGTTCCTCCATACTAGCGGGAATTTATCATTCAAGGGAGGGTGCTCCGTGTGTACAGGCAAGGAACGACATGACCAAAAGCACAAGGAATCACCAAGCTAGGGAAGTAGGAGGAAGCAGAGCCACTGGAGTAATGGCAACAGGAAATGGGCTCAAGCTAGGAGAAGAAAAAAAAAAAGATCGGAGAAGATTATGGAAGAAAATGAGGCAAGAATAAGCAGACCGGGGCGAGACTATGAAACTGTGGCCAGACCAGCTAAGTTTGGACTTCATCCCTTGCACATTAATGGGACCCACCAAAGGTTTTAATGCCAGAGAATGACACAATTGGATCTGTCTTTGAAGAGATTGGACAGTAGTATGGAAGATGCGTTAGAAAAATGGAAAAACTTAAGGGAGATAAGAGGCTCTCCAAAGAACTGAAATGAAAGATGAAAAAGCCTTCACAGGGCAACGGTCATGAGAAGAAGAAAAGGGAAGGAACATATTCGAAAGCAATTTTCAGATAGAAGAGACAAGACTTGCTGACAGATTGGCTGTGGAGATTCTGGGAACATAAGGACTCAAGATGAATGTGAGGTTTCCAGCTGCGAGAACAGGGAGGCCACTAACGAAGATAAAGCACACAGGGGGTGGGGGAGGGTGCTTGAAGTACGCCTGGAAAAATAGGCTTGGGATTTGTGGAACTACTTGCTGTGATAGAAGCTCTTACTAAGCTCCAAAAGGATAAGAATCTTGTGTGCTAGCTTTCTCTGTGCCATATCCAGTGTACCGCCATGTGCCTTTAATTCAAGTTTGTGAGAATGGTGATAGTGCTGACCGAATGCCAGCATAATTGAGATTTGACAATATTTAAGATAGCGCTTCAAAGTGCTTGTGTGGAAAGGAAATACGAGACAAAATGGTTTGGTTTAATTTTCTGTCAAATTTTTTCTTTAGCAGTTTCCAAAATAAATGTCCCATCATAATAAGAGTTTTTTTCCCAAGACGGTCTATTATTGAGAGCAGCCTGCGGTAGACCATGGTACCATCGGTGATCGTACATTCTGTGCACCCCAATAATCAAGTCACAGCACCTCTAATTCCCTGTCTTGTTCAGGAACCTGTATTACCACTTAGGATTTTAAAACCTGCCACACCCAAAGTCAAACATAATCAGAGCCATTTAAACAGTTTGAGAAGGAAAGGGGGAAAAACCCCACTGCTGTTTTATTTTAAAATCCTTGGGGGAGGTATAGAGAAAAAAAGCACCATTTGTTCTGGTTAACGTTGTTGTGCAACATTTTCTGGAGTTTGCCTTGTGGGCATGTTGAAATCATAGCTAAATAAATCAGCTCTGGCAACACAAAGAAACAATCTTCCCTTCCCCCCTGGACGCCCGAGGGCTAATGCCATCTTCTTCATGATGCACACACACTTTGGAGCTGCTTTGTTTTTAATCCTCTGCCAAGTTAAGTTTTAGTTTTATTTTAATCTCAGTAACCACAGTAAATTCCAAATTTTTGACAAGTAAATGCTTTCTTCCTTGCCAGAATTCTACTCACTTTCCTTTCTAACTCCTGGAGCTCACAATAGTGGCTGAACTGCTGATCTCTTTTCATGATGAAGAAAACAAATACCAACAGATTAAGTACACATCCTAACATTTACATGTTAATACCACGTGAAATGGGGTAAGAAGAAATTCTCATCCTCTCTGTCCATCATGTTTTAAAATGTGTGTACTACGAAGAGAAGAACAGCATAGGCAGTCGGACATCTGGACTCAAGTCTCACTCATTTCGGTCGGCTGCATGATGACTAAGTAACTTAAAGTTAGGGAAACAGACTGGTTTTCAAAGAGCCCTATTACTTTAAATTTCTCATTTTGAAGATTATGGCTACTAGCTGCTTTCTTTTTTAATACATGGAAAATAGTCACTCAAAAAAATTCTAAGCAAAAAGCTAGTTTGAAATTTTCTAATATGTACAGCTTTGAAATGATATCCTATGTGAGATGCCAAAGAGTTATAAATTGTTTTATTTATGGAAGATTTCTCTGCTTAGAGAACAAGACTGCAACCCCACTAATCTAGTCAGCTTAGTCATCACAGATGACTAAGCCGAGATCAGCACTAGAAGAGATACAGCACACTCATAAAAACTGCAACTGTTTAAAATGATGGCAAGAGAAAAAGGGTCATGATACATTTTAAAAGAAATGAAGACATAAACTGTGTAAGTGTAAATTCATTTTTCAGAGTAATAAATTCACTTTACCACTTTTGTTTTTTGGGGTTTTTTTGGTTTTTGTGTCTTTTGGAGACAGGGTCTTGCTATGCAGTTCAGGCTGGCCTAGGGCTTTGTAGCCCAGGCTGGTCTCAAGCTAACATTATCCTCCTGCCTCAGCCTCCTGAGTGCTAGGATTACAGGCGTGTGAGCCACCACGCCCAGCTTATCATTTTTGTTAAAGCATTCTCATTATAAAATTTCAAATAATACAGGAAATGCAAGAAATCATTCCAAATCACACCAATGAAGAATATTCAGTAGTGACATTTAGTGAACATCATTCAAGATAACTATTCATATGTACAAATCAATAGATGGATAGATGGAAACAATCTATTACTTCTGGGGTAAGGGTGCAGTCACTTTTAAAAATAAGGAATATCAATTCTAATTTTTCTTGAAATTAATAAACTAAAATGAAAAAAATTAAACCATGGATAAATGCTTCTTTACCCAAGAAACAGTGCAGAAGATCCCTCTAAGTTCATGAAAAATGATAAAAACCATAAAAAGCAGATTGTTACTTTCAAACTACTTTAAATTTTAGATAGCACTGACTGAATTCCTGCTATGAAAGACAAAGACAATAAGAATCCCTTCTACCTCCCTCCCACTTTTTTATTATAGATGTGAAGTTTCAATTTGCCATGATGTACAATGTTTATGTTCCCTTCTGTTGCAACAGTTTCTATAGTTTTTAAATCCTACATTTTTATGTAAGTGCATTTATATGTAATATCACAGTCTTTCATTCTTCTCTTGGGTGGCTAAATTTTAGCCAGCAAATTTTTTTTGTCCGTTTGTTTTTCCAGAAAGGACTCAGTGCTTGTGCTCCCTTGGTTCTTCCATACTTGAGAACATATGCCTGCTGCCTTTATAACTCGAGAATAGCTTGATCTGGAACATGGTCATGGGGTTGTACTGTATCAGAACTGTGTTGGCACTGCTCCTCTAGTAGATAACACTGCTGTGAAAAAGATCTGTCCGATCTTTCTTGAAGATAACCTTTGCTTTTGCTTGAGTGGCTAAAGAAGTTTTTGTTCAGCAACAACCAGGACTTGACTCGGTGTGGATCCTTCTCTACCAACTCTCAGTATTCAGTGTATCTTTTTGATCGGCAGACTTGGCTCTGCATTTCAGTGAAGTTTTGCTGTATCACTTCTCCAAATACTTTTTTCATTCCATTTTTTAATCTTCTTTCTCACAACCATCAATAATCCCTTTGCTAGCTGGGCATGGTGGTGTATACCTGTAAACCCAGTGCTCGGGAGGCCGAGGCAGGAGGATCCCAGAAAATTCAAGGCCAGCCTGAGCTACACATTGAGTTCAAGACCAACCCGAACCACATAGTGAGATCCTGTCTCAAAACAAATCATAACAAAATGAATCCCTTTGTTGACTAATCTTTCTGTCCTATCTATTACTATTAACAAATTGCTTTAATCTCTTTTACCACTGGGTTTACTGTGACTTTTGAAGATTTTGCACCAAACCACTACATTCGCAGCCACCTCTGTGTTCTTCTTTCCTGGTTCTACATCACTTATTGACTAGCACAACAAAGAGCAGTATGCTAGTCCTCCACTTGTTTTCTGAGATCTATGGTCTCATTTTACCTCAATATGAACTCATTTTAAATTTTTATTATTTGTGTGAATGTAAATGTGAGTCCATGTGTATGTGTGCAAATACATGAACTATGAAAGCCAAAAAAACTATTTTTTTTTTTGGTACCAACAATCGAACTCACAACCTCACGCTTGCCAGGCAGGTGCTGTGCCATTGAGCTATATCCCCGACCACACAATATTTGGCTATGGTCCCGTCTTTTCTTTTTGGCCTATCTGAATTTCCTATTTTTTTCCATGGTGAACTTGTACACTGATGTTAATACTTAAACAAACATATGTGTGAACACTGTATATGTATTTGTAGAAAAAAAAATTTCCAGAAAAAAAACAGTGACAACAGGAGAAGTAAAATAATTTGTCTAAGAACATCAGTTGGTAGGACTGTTTCCTTCAGCTATACTGTATTGTGTCCAAGATGTTTGCTTCATCAAACACAGTAGCTATAAGCTTTAAGAGAACTGAACTTTCCAGCCAAGAACTAAACATCTTTATGTCAATCACCCAAAATGCATAACTTTCCAAGAATTATGTTTTTTCTTAAGTTATGTGTATGTTGCAATCTTTGAAAAATAGGAAACTAGGCTATGCCAGCACTCCAATTGTCAGCATACAATCTGTGTCTGAGACATAGATACACAGTGGAAGGGGCTGGGGATTTAGCTCAGTGGCACAGCGCCTGCCTGGCAAGCATGAGGCTGTGAGTTCGATTTCCGGTACCGGGAAAAAAAAAAAAAAAACACAGTGGATGTGAATGAAAACTTCTACTTTCCTCATGGCTGATTTTGTTCTTCCATTTCAGAGGTGAAGCAAGCACAGACCTCAAATTTTCTCTGTCAAAACCGTATCTAGGGCTGGGGATATAGCTCAGGGTCATAAGTGCCTGCCCGGCAAGCACGAGGTTGTGAGTTCGATCCCCGGTGGCACACACACACACAAAAAAAAACAATAGTATCTACAGAAGGAAATTCCAGGACTGGGAATTTAGCCGAGCAGTGCTTGCCTAGCATGCTAAGGCACAAAGCCTTGGGTTTGATCCTCAACACCATAAAAAAAGAAGGAAATTCCTCTCAGACTTTGGCAAAATGTTTATTAATATGCTCAAGTGTCATGCAATGCTCTTGCAAATATATTTCACAAATTTATTTTCTCATAGATGTATTGTGTGTGTATTGATATAATGTATCTATACTCACTCTGATGTTAACAAATTACTAAAATCTTGAGATTGACTGTGGAACAAAAACTTTTCATTCTAAAGTGAAAGATTAAAAACTAAAGGCTCTCCTGAAATGTTGAGCTGAAAAAAAAAACAAAAACCACAAGACCCTTTATTGGTGGGTAAGAAATCAAAGGTAAGAAATTAAAATCATAAAGAATTCTTTTAAGGAAAAAAAATGAAACTAGATCATAGAAAGACCAAGCGAAGTAGAGTAAAACTATTTCTGCAATTGTCTCAACTACTGTTATTTTAAATAAAAAATTTAAGTGCTCTGAATGTATATAGGAATAGTATTTATTTTTGTCATTTAGTATATTTGTATGCTGAACATAGAATATTAAATTTATATTTGTATGTTTCTATAAAGTTTAGCCATTATTATGCTTTTACAAAGGATATCTTATTCTTGACAGAAATAGGTAAATATACAATAAACAAAAATTTTAGTTGCCTATATATGCTAATAAGGAGATATAGTAACCTCTCACTGTTTTATACTTAACTCATTTTTCATCTAATAACATTTTGAGATACATCAGCAATCTTATCCCTGAGCTACCTTTATTTTTTTGATGTTAATGTTTCAAAAAAACAAGTATTAACCAAAGGAATCAAAGAAACTCAAACAGAAATATCCTGAAAATCTACAAATCATAAACTAAACTTCAGATTTCACATAGCACTGGCAGTTTATCAAAGTTTTGCATGCATTAACCTAAATAGGTTACAGGATAAAACATAAAAATAAAGAATCTAAATATCAAATAACACAAAAAAAATTTTAAAGGTTAATTTTTTAAAAACTGACATGAAAATGGATACAATAAAACATATGGTAGGTGTTCCCTAAAAATTCCTTGAAATATAATATAAAAATTAATGATAGATGTAGAGAAAGGGAAAAATAGGCAAAGTGAGAAAGGAAAAAGAGATGTTCAAGGAAATATTAAAAGCTACATTATCAGTCTAGGAAGTCTGTTTTTAGTGTATGGGACATTCTAATAAAGAAAACTAAGTTTAATAGTTATGTCCACATGAATGGCTTTGCATACCCAGATCTGTAATCTAGTGACCTAAGTTTTTAAAGGTGGACACTTTAAAGGGAAGATACACTACTAAAATTTGTTCAGAGTCAAGGCATCTTCAAAAGGTACTGAAACCTTTGGCTGTAGCTCCATCTCATCACATTTACTTTCTACCTTCCAACACTACTCCAGAAGCTTATCCCAAATACGAACAGGGATGAAAATAAAGAGGAATATTTTTTCACTGTAGCCTTTATCTGAGTTTCCTGTTTACTGTATTCAGTCTTGATTTCATATCAAGCTTATGTGACAAGTTCTTAGTGGTAAGCCTAGATACCAAACTTTTCCTCATGAAAACCAACATGTGTGGCATTTCTGTATTTTTCACCTTTTGCAAGGGGGTGGCTCTTTGTAACGGCATCATGCTCACATCACTGTGTGAGAAAGCCTCCTGCCATCCTGGTTGGACGCCGAACAGTTAATTCCGCCTCTGTGTCCCACTGGATTAATAGTGACCAGAAGGTTTAGTCAAACTGAAGATGGGAAAAGAAGAAAGAAAATCATCTTCACTATCAAACAAAAATATAGCTTCTTCTGAACACATCTCTATGCCAACCACTATGCAAAATAAATAGACATAATCCCTACCTTCCAGAAGCCTTTATGCTACAGTGGACAATGTTGACAGAGACATATAAACAGACGTTCACAACACAGAACAGAGACATGATGGCTGCCAGTAGGACAGAAATAAATCAACACAGCTAAATATTTGTAAAAAGTGAGAGATTTATTACGTGCAACATACTTTGTATAATATATATAATAGTCTCTGGAATTGATGATGGATGAATAAAGACACAATTCTTTTGTTTCCTGATCCTACTCTAACTCTTCCTATAAACTTAAGCTTTAACCTGACAGTGACTTTTCTTCTGTCCTATAAAAATGGAAGAGTAGCATTTAATTTTCCTTCAGGTTGCATACATTATATGGGTATGGACTCATGAAAACACTATACAGAAAACTGTATTACAATTTCTAATGAACTGAGCCAGGACAGAAATTCAAGTTTTAAATTCCTTCTCAAAATAGTCTCAGGGCCAGGGATATAGCTCAGCAGCACAGCACCTGCCTGGCAAGGGCAAGGTCCTGAGTTTGATCCCCAGTACCACACACTCACAAAAAAATAGTCTCACGTGACATATTTCATGATATATACCAAGCCAGCCCTTCGGGGATATAAACTTTTGAAAGGGTTGGTGTGAACATTTGATTTGAGACAGGGGATGAGTGCTATAAATGGTACCATCTCTCACTCCCCAGCAAACGTTACCTGTTTTATTTCTCTGAAACTTCTTCTGGTCATCTTCACTTCTTTGGTCCTTCTTTTCTCGCATTTTCCTTTTCCTGTGCCACCCACAGACGTAAAAGGAAGGAGCAGGAACTTTTTCCGTCCAGTTTTTTGTGAGAGACAAATTTCCCTATGTTGTCCAGGTTGCGCCCAAACTCTTACAGTCAAGTGATCTTCCTACCTCAGTCACTCCAGCAGCTGGGACCACAGGTGCTCACCACTGCACCCAGCCTTCCCTCCAGTGCTGGAAAAGGGAGGAGTCTATGCTATAAAATTGATTAAATATTTCCTTGTAAAGGAATACTTTAAATTAAGGACCTTACAGTTTCAGTCCCTCAAATGTGCCATGTTGTTTCACTTCCAGGTACTTGACATCACATGGAGCACGCTTTCTTCCACTCACTCTTTCCAACTAGCCAAGCCAACAACTACTTAGCTTCCCCAAAGGCGAACCTTCAGTTCTGCTTCTGTGTGTTCACACCCACCTGGATTCCTCCTCCTACAGTTGTACAGTACCTGCCACATCTCATGTTATTCACCTGTCCACTTACCTTGATCTCCTCCGTAAGACTGAAAGGAACTAGGACGTCATTGCCTAGCGCGAACACAACACCTGGCACATGGTAAGCACTTAAGGAAGGTTTGCTGAAAAGATGAGTGACAAGCCAATTCCCTGATCAAAACAATTAAAATACGCTCTGTACCTCTACAGCAGCATTATCCAACAAAGATTTCTGCAATAATGAAAATGTCAAATAACTACACAAGCCAATCTAATACCCACTAGCCATGTATGGCTACCTAGCATGTGCAATGTAGCTAATTCATCTGGATTTTTAATTTTATTTAATATTTGTTCATTTTAACAGCCAAATGTGGAGAGTGGTTAACCTATTGAACACTAGCTCTTGAGGCACAATGGGAATATAAAATGTTATGCATGACCTGGTTTGATCATACTGCTTAACATATTGAACTTCAGAATATAGTTTATGGAAATAAGTCAAATTTCCTGAGTGAAATCACTCTTAAATAATCACGCATTTTGAGAACAGGAATTCTATCTTGCTCATCATTATCTTATATATAGTAGGTACTGAAAATATTTTAAGACGGTTAATATCCAGTTAAACTGAATAGAGATACTAACTGCTCAAATTTAAAGAATCCTGTCTGTTTATTTTCCTCCTAAGTTTAAGAGTAACAGTTAAAAACAAACCAAAAAGACAGCCAAAAATAAAACAAAACAGGAAAGGAATCATGCTATCTGTACTATCCTCCACATTATCAACCAGTAGCAGTGGCTCCCAACTATGTTCCAGATTTTACCTTTGCTCCATCTTTGCTCATGTTACTTTCTTGCTAAAACCTACTTTTACCCCACTCCCATCACCCACTTTTCCAAACTCTGCACATACTACAATGTCCAGTTCACATACTCTTCCTTCGTGAAGCATTCATATTAACACAAGGAATGGCTCTGTCTCATCTACACAGTTCTCTTGAATGGTTAATTCAGCTTTGTTCTATGAGTAGCTTGATTTGATGTTCCCTCTTGTGACAGTCAGGTTGGAGTGTCAACTTGACTGGCTCTAAGGCCCACCTAGGGGACTGATGAAGCACACCTACGGATGCGTCTGGGTGGGTCATGAAGGTGTGGCCTTGAGGTCGACACTGGGTTCTTCAACTTGTCCTCTTTGGCACTCTTGCCCTGCTCTGCTTTCTTACCACTCTGAACTAAGCAGCTTTGTCCTGCGACACCCTTCTGCCTTGATGCTCCTGCCTTGGAGCCCACCGACCTACTGACCCCGCCCCTCCCCCCTAAACTATGAGGCAAATTAAACTTCTCCTTAAATTGTGAGTGCCAGGTGCTGTGTCTCAGTGATGAGAAAGCTGACTAATAATACACCTCCCTTGTTAGGCAATAATTCTCTCAAGATGGAAGAAATCTTACTCATTTTATTCTTTTTTGCAATTCTTAGCATAATGTTCTTTATGAGACAGGATTAGAATATGTTTTGAATTAATGAAGCCTCACAAAACAGCTGATGTAATTAGAGACACTCATCTTAAGATGCCAAAGAACATCTGATTCAGAAGTATTAAGTGTTGAAAAACACTTTTTTTTTTCAGAGTCCTCAGAGAGCAGCAATCTGCCAATAACCTTTTTTTTTTTTTTTTTTAAGAGACAGGGTCTTACTGTGTAGTTCAGGCTGGCCTTGAACTCCACTTCAGCTGGCCTCAAATTTGCAGGGACCCTCCTGACTTAGCCTCCCCAGTGCTGGGATTACAGTAGTGTACCAGCGCACCCAGCTGCAAACAATCTCTTACGTACAGTTTTTCTGACAATATTAGACTCCCTAATATTTTTAACAGTTTCTATTTGGTAGAGTTTCTTTCCCTTTTCCTCTTTCTCTCTCTCTCCTGCTCCTCTTTCTTGCCAATTTTTCAGAAGACTTCCTTCCTTCACCTCATTGAGCTTTCTGTAAGGTTGTGAGGTCACTTTTTTCCCTTCAAAGGCAGCAGTTAGGGGCTGGGGATTTGGCTCAGCGGCACAGCGCCTGCTTGGCAAGCGCAAAGTCGTGAGTTCGATTCCTGGTACCAGAAGAAAAAAAAAAAAAAACAAAAAGAAAGGCAGCAGTTATACTATGCGTCCAAGTGTACATGCTTTGGACAGGGTCAACCTTCAGATGTCATTTAGGAACAAGATTAGACCACAGGATCTACAGCTAATTGCAATATGTTACTACACTGCAAGTGCTCTGGCTCTGCTCATGTACACTGTCAGATCATGTATGTTACTTCTCCCCAAGAGAGCCTCTTGCCTGAGCCTCCTCAGTAATTAGGACCTGCACCTGGGTCAGAGTGTTTCTTCAATATTTTATTAAGCTGGTACAGTGACACACACATATAACCTCCAGGCTGAGGCAGGAGTATCCCTGGACCCCAGAGGTTTGAGCCCCTTCTGGACAACATAGCAATACTCTGTTTCAAAATTAAACACACACACACACACAAACACACACACTTCCCTCTCATATTACAGTAAAACTTTATGTAGCTCATTTACTTCTACATCTTCTTGACCCAGCAAAACATTTACACTCCAGAAAACATTACATTTTCTAGAAGTAAATACTATTCATAAAGGAGAATGGCCACTAAGGCAAAGTTAAGTAAATAGCTCTTCCATAGTTTAAGGAGATGTCTGTCTTGCAGTGTTATATTTAGACTAAGTATTAAATTGGATATGTAGGTTAGTTACAGGAGTTACAGGACTAAGAGAGAGACAGATTCTAGCTTTCCAATTTCAAAACTTTTAATCATGTTGTTACTCCTTTCACTCTAAACTTTTTAAACTAAGAGGGCAAAGAGGTTTAGAAAAAAATGGACACTACATTAAAAGCTAAACATAGTTGCTTTATTTTGGTTAACAAACATTTACTATCCAATTTATGTCCTGTAACTAATACCAATATATTGACTATATTAGATTAGAATTTCTATTATACTTATAATAGAATCCAGATGTCCATAGGCGTAGAGTAACTTGTTATAGTCTAAAGGTATACATGAAGATAGGGTCTTATTTTTAAAAATGAATCCTTATAAGGTTTGGTTGGCTCTAGGATCACCAAAGATTAAGTTCAGATTAGGGGACATTTTGAACTTCTTTATCACAGAATACTTTCTCCCTGTTTCATTCAAATAGTGCAGTGAACTCTGGATGTCTTCTGAGCCAGAGTAAACTGGTACTGACCACTTGTAAATGAAATTGGTCTCTGGAGATACATGCTATGGAGCAGTACCATTCTAGTATTTTCTTTTTGTTAGCAAATTTGCTTATAGTATATGCAGTTGGTAACCTGAGGTTTGATATCCTTTGAAATGTACTATCACCCATTCTGGAGTTGAGTGAAGACTATAATAACAATACCATCAGAGATCAGACTTTTTCTTTTATAATAGTTTGCTACAGTAAAGGGAAATTTTTATGACTCCTTTTAAAACATAAATTGAATGGTAAACATTTGTTAACCAAAATAAAACAGTTATGTTTAGCCTTTAATATAGTGTCCATTTTTTCCTAAACCTCATTGTCCTCTTAGTTTAAAAGATTTAGATAGAAAGGAGTAACAACATAATTAAGAGTTTTGAAATTGAAAAGCTGGAATCTGTCTCCTCTTGGTCCTATAACCCCATGAATCATGAAAGTTTATCTAAATATAAAACATTCTATTTTAACCATACTAGTATGTGATGGTAACTTGTGTAAATAATAACTGGCTTTATGCTATCTATTGTTTTGTGAGGTGATCTCATATGGCTCCGAAGTTCTCTATAGTTAACCCTGAAGGTACCTCATTCTTGTAAGGGCACCCTCTGTAGCTTAGTGTATATTTGCAAAATAAATCACATTTTTCTCTTGTCATATTAAACGGATGGAACCATTTTCGAACATATGGAAACATTACTGCACCTCGTGTTCTTTTGAGCAAATAGCCCCATGTGACTTACAAATGTTGAAAAAGCAATAGATATTTCCAAATGCTAGTGGAATGGTTAAACTAATGTATCCTTTAGGTATTGAAAAAGTTTTTCACTGGGATAAATGAAGACCAGAATGAAGTCTAGTCACTTTTTCCAAGAAAAGTTAGTCATTCATTCCACCCTAATTCCACAATTTCTTTAATTTTTGTTGTTAATGTTACAATACTGTTACGTATTACAAAAGGCTCCAGAGTCATCATCTCAGGCAGTGTTGCACAAACTATATGTAGAAAATTCTCCCTGTCTTCTTTTATAGAAAAAGCAGTAACTGGAGGTTAAAATCAATTCTCCAAACTTTTAAGACGTAATGTGATATACATATATTTTTGGTACTGGGAATCAAACTCAGAACCTCACACTTGCCAGGCAGGCATCATGCTACTAAGCTATATCCCCAGCCCTATAATGTTATATTTAAAACTATCATTGTCAGTAACAAAAAATACCAGCATGAAATTTCAAACAGTAATAAAATCTCTATGTGAAAGGGTAAATGAAGAATTTCTGCAGTATTAATGACTGAACAGATATATTTCTACACAAAGTAACAAGTGATAAACATTTGGGATTATTTGGTATGTACATGAATTTAAATAAAGGAGTTCTGAGGTGTCTTTTAAGACAAAATACTTGACTTTCTATAACAATCATCACTTCAACATGGCTTGCCCCTACCAAAATTCATGTTGAGGCTTGGTCCCCAGTGCGACAACACTGGGAAGTAAAACCTAGGAGGTGTAGTTTTGGTCATGGGGGTGATGCTCTCAAGAATAGATGAAGATTTTTCACATGGTAGTGGATTAGCTATTGCATGAGTTCCACCCCACCACACCTTTTTCTTTCACATAGTCCCACTTGCCTTTCTGCTTTCTACTATGAGCTAAAGCACCTGGTGGCCCTCATCAAAGTCAAGAAGATGTTACTACCATGCTCTTGGACTTCCCATCCTCTAGAACCACAAGACAAAACAGACTTTTCTTTTATAAATTACCCGGCTTCAGGTACTCTGTTATAGCAACAGAACACACACTGAGATAAACACCTTAAGCATAAATATTCTTAGGTTGAATTA